TACTACTAAAACTAAGGCTGCAATTTTCACCACCAAATTAAATGTAGGCCACTATACGTATACAATTGGAGGAGATAAGATCGAGAATGTATCATCCATAAAATATCTTGGCGTAAATCTTTCTCCTAATCTATTTTGGAACTTTCATACTGAGCAGGTCATCAGCATAGCGTCTAAACATCTAGCATTCCTCAAAAGCTCATTATATCAGGCTAATAAAGAAACCAAGCTTCTAGCTTCGTAAGGTCGCAGTTGGAGTACGCATCAATTTTTTGGAAACATTATCAGATGTATTTAACCGAGAGTATCGAGGCACTACAAAACAGAGCTGTCAGAATCATCGCTAAGATTTATTCTCTTGCCTTAAGCGCGAGTAATATGACACGTTCTCTCAACCTTTCGTCCTATTATTCTCGAAGACTCATTGCACGCGTGTCCTTCTTTTACAAGCTCTATCACTGCTCGTCACCTTTCAGTCACGCGTAAATCAGTCCGCCTCGCCGTGCTTCATCCCGCGTCGACCATCCCTTCAAAGTACGTCCCCATCTTTGCCCGCACCAACCTATTCAAAAACTCCTCACTTCTTCTCGCCATCTCCGAATGGAACAGCCTACCCAGCGATCTTGTGTCCAACACCTCTGCCTAAATGTTCACCACTTCAATATCTAATGTATAACAACGGATATAGTAGTGTTTTATTGTTAACTGGTTTTATGCGTGCATTTTGTGTTTGTGTGTATGAACCCCCCCCCCCCCCTCCTATGTAATGCCCGCAAAATACTTTAGAGTAAATAAATAATAAAAAAATTAAAAAATCTGCCACTACGGTAACGTTTCTACTGTTTCAAAAAAAATCATCAGGGAAAGTAAAAACTTTCTCTTTGCGATGCGTACATGCATCAAAGCAGGTTATTTCACTCTATGAAAAAATGGGCCATTCATATAATTAAATTGTAGTCGCACCCCGTCTTTTGACGTAACAAAGAAGACGACAACTCTAAATACAATCTTTGTTACCACATTTACCAAATGTTGTAAACAAAATGTGTAGGTATTTGTTACTAATTAAAACAATAGCTTATGCTTATAGTATAAGAGTTTATATGTTTAGAAACAATATATTATTCTAGCTTTAAAGCGAACTTTTTTAAGGTTATATTTCAGAAAATATTTATACTTAGGAACGACGAACGTGATACGGGAGAAAACGTAAAGCAGTAACGAGAATATATGCACCAAAATACCGGGAATGAAGCGAACCTAGACAAAAAAAAAAAAAAAGTCATACCCTGCCGCTCCGGTAGACTAGCGCTCACTTGAACAAAAGTTGTGAAACACAGGCCCATAGGCAGCTGATCTCAACACACAATAATTAAACATGCACCAGGAAACCCAACCATGTACGCTCAACATTGTTGAGACGCGCTGAGGATGCGTATCCCACTTTGCGATTAAACCCGGGCGACCGGGCGAACCGAGACGCTCGCTTCGGGATTAGGCTCTGTTTCAAACTATATCCGAGAGGAGCCGGTGCTACAATTCGGTTGAGCCAATCAACGAATGGCAAAAGTGTATCTCCACAGAGCTCGTATTTCTTGTGCGGTTGCTTTTACGGGTTAAACCAATCACGCAAACAAAAAAGCGCAGAATCAGGAGACGTTCCCTCTGCATGTTTGGTTTTGGTTCGTGATTGCACAAAGAAAACGAGCGCCGTTACGATGCTAGCAGTCATACTGCTTTTGTGCTTCATCCTGTTGAGGCTGCTCAACTCCCGCTGTCCAAACAAGCACAACTTTACTCTAAAATGAGTAATGAAAGAATCAGTTCTTTCTACTTTTCCTTTGCGCGTCCAAACATCCTCTGTTCTCATTCACGTCAATGGGCGGGGGAACCAAGAAGCTAAGCAGCGCGGAGGAGAGTAGAGGAGACGTCTATAGCTTGAGCCAGAGCGCTCGATAAAATAATAATTTTGCTCAAGATAGATAATTTTTTCCCAATCAGCGGAAGATTTTTAAGGAGGTTCCCTCAGACAAACTAGGAGTGGGTGGGGTGCACCCCCCTCCCACCCATTAGGGTGTGGGTAGGAATATCACTGGTGTCATTGGGTTTTCTGTCGTCACAGCACCGAGCCGTCTGTCCAGGGGTAAACGTAGCACATCAGCGGCACCGGGAGATATAATCTCCGTTTTGCCCCAGCGGGTTGCTACAACACCGGTCAGCTGGACCATCTTCTCGCTGTCGACTCGAAATGCTTTTTTTTTTTGACAATGATACTTACCGATTCGTCCCCGGCACCGCCAAGTCTGCAGCCGAGACGTCTAACTTGAATCCACTACGTCACGTTGCGCCGAGAGATAGACCAGATCTCTCCCATTCATATGTCAAGTTCGGCAGGAATTGTATCCACTAAGTCCTACGACGACAGATACGTTTGTGCTCGCCGAACAATACCGGACTCGGATATTCTTCTTAATACTGTTGTACTTAAATTTGAATACATCGTTTTCCAATTTTATTTACAGTGGAGAGTGAATGTCTTCTAAAGTACCGAGGGTTTAGTGTTATTTTTTAACATCAGAAATACCGCGACAAATTCGAGCCTGGTGGCAATATAGTTTACATAACTTTAGAAAAATGGAATACTTGATTTCAAACAAATTTGTTAATGTTACTATCTATCACTACGTATCGAAAAACAGGCCACGAGATAACCATATATATGGCTTAAGGGTGCACTAAGGGTCTACCACTTTATCGTCTCACCCTGTAGGTCAACAGAAATGCTCCCCGCATTTAAAACACAACTCTGATTACCGCCTATTTAAGAAACGCAGGCCGTAGTTTAATATGTATACACTTCTCTAATGCCCGAGTCCCACTAGAACGACAAACGGAAACAAACGACGTGGACAAGCCTCCAACTTATGCAGCATCCTCGCGATGGCAGCTTTGGCAGGAGTTTAGTCGTTCGGTGCTCGTGAAATAAGCACGAGTGATTGCAAGCCTGCCAAAGATACTCTCGCGTGCATGGTGCTCGTGTTTGAGCATAGCCTCGTTCATTCTACAAACCCTGTCAATAATACTTAAAAAACAAGCGAGCTGTTGATGATTCATTGTAATAAAACCCGAGACTCAGGAACACAAAAGGGGACGTTCGTCCCCTTTTGTGTTCCTGAGTCTCGGATTTTATTACCATGAAACCCTGTCAAATCGCAAAAGACTGGTTTGAGGCTTGTCGCTGTCGTTTGTTTCTGTTTGTTGCTGCAGTGGAACTCAGGAACAACAAAAAAGCCGGTTTAACTTTCCGCTAACGGGATAATGGAACAGGGAATCTAAGTAGATTTCTAGCTAGAAAGCTGAAATCCACTTTGCAGACAATTGTCTGCAAACTGGATTTCAGGTTTCCATCAATGAATGCAGTTAGATTTCCTGTTTCATAATCCAGATAGCGAAAAGGTACGCTGTTTTTTTCTGTAGGATTCTTGCTTCATGATTCGTTGTTCGGCTTCCTTATCGGCTAATGGCGTAATCTGATTGGTTGAGTAGCGATAATGACATGCAAGGAATGTTCCACGCCCTGCAATTCTTAATGCGTTAGTGGTTATAGGCTAACACCATAGAGAAGTCAAAGGGTTTGACGGCACGAATGCTAAATATTAATGGATGTTGCAATACAATATTAAAATAAGGTTTGTGTTTAAAGGTTCCCAGCTAACTATAGTGAAATGAAAGGTAAGAATGTGCCTGGCGACGGAAATAGTCTGCTACCAAAGTGAACATCGCGCAGACGTCAAATAACTCGTTACTGTTACTGGCGCTTTTGGTTGGTCTGCAGGGAGATCTTATGCCTTTAATAGTACGTGGTAATGCACGTAGACGCAAGCTAGGAGCTTGCGTCTACGTGCTTGCTGAACACACATACAACCATCATCGCCGTCTGCATAAAAATAATCGAAATCATAAAATGAAGTGAATAACGAGGTTCATAGCACGATTCTCCGTAAAAATGAAATATAACGGGGTGAAATTTTCGCCCGAAGACGTTATACCTGTCCCGTAAATGTCTGTCATCTTTCTGTTGAACGAGGTGATTGGATATTGGCTTGCTCCCCTGAAAAGGGGAAACACAGAACACAGGCGTTGTTCATGAGCGGTGTGTCTATTACTCAAGCAAAAACGGTATACACTCTAAAAAATCTTGAACGTATACCTCCCACCAAAACATTTGACAGAGCGAATTGCACAATTTGATACAGGTGCTTGGTGAATCATGAAGCTGAAAGTGTGTTTTGTTCTAAAACAACTGTGTTGCTGTCTAATCAAGTGATTAGTTCGGCCATGATTGAAAGAGCCGCGACAGGTCACGTGTCAATATTTCAGCGGGTAAACTAAATTTGTGTGTAGGTCACGTGACATCAAGCCACGATACGTCATTTTGCCAGCTAAACTTAGCGGGGGAAGTAAAATGCAGTTGAGGTCACATGGCTTCAAATCATGGGACTTAATTTCTCCCGCTAATTCTAGAGGAGAAACTAAATTGGTGTTGAAATCATGTCAACATTCTCGCTAAATCTAGCGAGGAACCCGTATTGAGTAGGTCAGGTGGCATTATGTGACGTCTTTTCCCACTAAATCTAGGTGGGGGGGGGGGCCGAATTTGTGTATAGGTCGCGTGACATAGAGTCATATGGCGTAAATTTCCTCGCTAAATTTAGCGGGGAAAATAAACGGTCACAAACGTAACTCAAAGTAGCCTTAATATCGTAAGAAAACCAATCACTTTGAAGAACTGTCTGCACTGTGGCATTAAGTACGAGGTTTCACCACGGCCAGTGCAACAATGAAGTTTTTTTTTTTGTTTCTATGTAAACGTATTTTCAGCGTGGTGATTGGCGGAGCTTTCTCCGTTGGTTCCAGCGATTGGTTCTCCCAAGTTCTTTGCGGAAAAGTGGGCACTCCGGATCTCAGAGTTTAGTCCATTGGCACAATATGGCACCCACCTTTCTGCCACGTCAAGGAGTCCACCGGAAAGCCTCCGTAGGGACATCGCAAGGCAAGCTCCGTACCAGAGACCACAGTGACGTTCCTCAGGGGCCTCACGAAGGGAGGGCCGTAGACCTCTAGCCTCGCCGAATGAGCTTCGGTGGCGATGTCGTTCCTCGCCATGCAGCTGTACTCGCCGCTGTCTTCGTGCCTCGCCTCGGAAATGTTGAGCAGGGACCTGACTTCGAGGGAGCCGCGGTCGGCGGTAATTTTGAGACGATGTGACGGATACAGAAAGTCCCCGTCGATGGCCCACGTGAGTTCAGGTGCCGGACTGCCGCGGGCGCGACAAAGCAGGGACACTGGATCGCCGCGCTTGACCACTTGCGGTGCGAACGTTTCCACCAAGGTCGGAGAGATGTCTGTAGAAAATATGCGGAGAAAAAAAAAGAAGAAAGTTTTTTAGAGGTGTGACGGCTAAGAGAGAACAAGGTTTGAGCGCTTTTTTCAATATTGAGAGGTAACTTTGTTGTTTGTAGACAAGTGAGGGTTACATCATGCAAACAAAATTTAGCATATGCGTAACATACAGGCGTGAGCCCTACATAGGATGCTATGATTAAAATGAGAACACCGACTTCACATAACACGAAAAACAACTTCATTAAACGTTTCGCCTCCCATGCGGGTGGCATCTTCAGTACATACACAGGAATGAGAGAGCTTCGGTCAACGCAGTCCTATTTATCGGGAAGGTCCATAGAAGCTTCCGGGAGGGGGCCACGGTTCTTGTTGCACGCCGTCTTATTTCCGCGGATTTACCATGACTCAAGTAGTTTGCGTGGGCCCCACCTATCCTCCTTCGCCAAGGTCGCCGCGGCTGTGAAGTCGAAGGTGTGTCCTGTGGTCCACGCGTGGTCGACCAGCTCCTTCTTGAGACGGGTGGCGTTCGTGGAATACTTGACGTCACGTTGGTGTTCTTTCATCCTGGTTATCTTCTTGCGTCCGGTCTCTCCAATGTACGAAGAGCCGCAGTCCTGGCAGGGGATCTTGTACGAAGAGCCGCAGTCCTGGCAGGGGATCTTGTACGACTGCCAGGACTGCGGCTCTTCGTACATTGGAGAGACCGGACGCAAGAAGATAACCAGGATGAAAGAACACCAACGTGACGTGAAGTATTCCACGAACGCCACCCGTCTCAAGACGGAGCTGGTCGACCACGCGTGGACCACAGGACACACCTTCGACTTCACAGCCGCGACGACCTTGGCGAAGGAGGATAGGTGGGGCCCACGCAAACTACTTGAGTCATGGTACATCCGCGGAGATAAGACGGCGTGCGACAAGAACCGTGGCCCCCTCCCGGAAGCTTATATGGACCTCCCCGATAAATAGGACTGCGTTGACCGAAGCTCTCTCATTCCTGTGTATGTACTGATGATGCCTCCCGCATGGGAGGCGAAACGTTTAATGAAGTTGTTTTTCTTGTTATGTGAGGTCGGTGTTCTTATTTTAATCATGACATCTCCCGGCTTTTCGACTATTTTTGCACATAGGATGTTTTAAGGGAGGTGTAAATAGTTAGCTTCCAGGTAATCTAAAATGAATGCAGCATGGAAAAAGCAGAGCGTCTATGGTGATTATAAATGGCTTTTTGGCGTAATTTGCTAGTAGCCCATACGAAAAGAAATCGAGCGATAGTGCGATATGAAAACGCGCGGCGACGTCAAAGCGCCGAGCTCTGATAGGAAGGGTATTGATTAAAAGCGAGGTCTTACTACCTTTGAATCTACCCAGTGTCTCTCCAGTCAGAGCGAACAAGTACGTCGTCTGTTTCTCTCTCAGGGTATGACAGCCGCTCGGTCTCTGAAGCCTATGCACTGCGTTCAGCGTTAGAACGTCAGACACATCGATGCAGCTCTATGTTTGAGAACTCTACGTTGCAGCTATCTATTTGGAAAATTTACCGCTAATGGTTTGATGGCTTTGTTAAAGCTTAATACATGACCCCAGACTGGACACTTTTTTTATATTTATGCAGATAGAGTCGTGATGCATGCTCATTCGAATACGATTTTCTTAATTTTGCTTACTCACACTTTTTGTAATTTATTAAACTTGTATTTTAGCTTTCACAAGCTCCAGGGACTGCATTGTAAAGCGAATCATTTGGCACTTGGGTGTTTGTTAAGCTTACAGGGCAGTCTAATTTATATTTTTGATGTCATTAGCAACTAGTTCAGGAGTTTAGTCCCCAGCGCAAATAAGTAAATTTAATGTTAAAAATACTTTCAATTTGCATCGCTTCTTTTTTCGAATGTCATGTTAAGCATCTTGGAGTACCAAGAAAGAAAGCCCGCTATCGAAAATATGTGGGCATCAATTTATTGGTTCAGCTTTACAGAAAAGAGGTAAATACTAGAGAAATATTCTGGAAAGTTTTGTGGGATATGGGGAATTATAACGTAACTTTTGTTAACCTATATATGATAAACTGAAAAATAATTTGCATGAATAGGTATATGTTTTGGATGACCAAGGAAAAAAGGAAGGAAAGGGAGGGACAAAACTCGGCTTATTTGATAACTCTATGGAACGGGTGTAGGTGTCTTCCTCTTCTAGCCAAGTTGTACCTCCATAATACCCCTTAAATCCTAACGGCATTCAATGTTCGTCTCGTATTAAAACGGCTGCGACCGCTCCTAGTCTTTCCTGAGGCTCCTTCCCAATGCTAATTACCATTATTCATGGTTCGAGTACCTCATTGATATTGTCCCCTTTAAAGAAACAGAACAGACACGGAAGCTCTGAAAGCATCTGCCAGTTTCTGCTGACAAGCATAATGTCCAGCTCGTCTTGTCAGTAGCGAGGAAAGGCAAGGAGAAGGCAAGGGGAGTATCTCGCTTTCTGAACCGTTGCAACGCAGTCTGACAGCCTACACTGACATTTGCAGGGGAGCCGCAGTCTGGAAGCCGCTTGACGAGGTCAGCGACACGAATGAAAGGGACATCGACCCGCAATCCTTCTCCAAACTTCCTACTCGAGTCTCCTTGGCAAGCGGAGGCCCCGCAACACCGGAACCTCTCGTCGCCGCGGCGCGTTCCATCACCGAGCCGGAGACAGTCGACTATTGAGCAAAGCCCACATTGAAAGAGCGGGGCATCATTTATCCTTCATCACAGAGTTGCCGCGCCCTGATACAATCGCGGAGTGGCTTCACGGAGGACACCCGATATAATAATCATACAGGAGTCGTCCCCATGGGTTCAGAAAGCCAGTGCCTTCTAGACCAATCAGCTATGCGACTTGTGGCACGTGTCTGAGCACACGTATGGCTGGAGTTATTGTTTTGATTGAAACGTCGCTAAAAAATAATAATATTGAAAACCAATATTTTGAGTTTTTTTTTTGTTGTTTTTAGCTTTTAGCGTTTTTATGTTTGCATTATTTTTCTTCTAATAGATATTTAAATATGTATGATTCAACTCGTAGTTTAGCCCATGCAGATGCATGAAACATTCAGTCAAGTGAATTACGACTGCTGATTGGAAATAAACAGCGTGCGAAAATACGGACAAGGACATAGGGAAGGCGCGAACAAAAGAAGCGCTGCTGATTGGTCTAGAGACCGTGCTGCGTTTTTAGCGCTCTGCGGTTATCTGTACTCTAAGAAAAGGTGTTGTATTGCACCCTTTTTTGTAATATAATGCACCCCAACACTGAAGTTCGCCGTACAACGCAATGACGCCGAACTGACGGCCCCAACTTATATGGGGTACTTTATGACCTTGCGATAATACTGATTAAACAGCTAAAGTACACATCAAAAACCACAAAAAGAAAACAATGAGCATTGGCAGTTGGGCCAGGGAAAGTCCGATTATTTCTTTTTTTTTTTAGGTAGTAACACAACATTAGCTTATTTAATAAGTTCTACCACTCGGCTATGAAGCAGCTCCTGAAAGTTGGTACAGGCGGTTCGGAATCAGTGCGCTGTATGTCGAACTGATTTGGGGGGTCTAATATGAAATAAGTGGTGTAAAGATATACCCTTATTTTCTGAGAGTGTGGGGAACTAGGAAAAATAACAGGCAAATAACGAAACTATACTCGAGTGAGCAGTAGGATAAGCTTTGTTTACTAATCAACTCTTCTCCGAACGCACACTGTACCAAGGTACAATAAATAAAGTTTTTTGTCTGCGCACATCACCTTGACAAGACGTTCTTACAGTTGATCCTTACATTTTCGTTAGGTTAGAGAAATTGTGGTTATGAGCTGATTGGAGCACATCAGGCAACGTTTTATTCCTGAAATATCCTGCAGAAACCTAGTCTGCAGTTGTTCTTACACTGCATCTAAAACAGCAAATTATTTCGCCGTCATCAGCTTTCCTCTAACAAATATAAATAGAGAAAATAAAACACGATACATTTATGCAGTTTATATTCAAAGGAAGAACATAAACAAGTGGAAGGTTGAGAAAATATATATCAAGTGGTGTTTGACCCGTCTCAAAATAGTAACTCAGGACTGACTGAATTGCGTTCAAATATCCCAGTGAAGTTTCCTTATTTAAGATTTGGCTTAATGCTTTTTCTTTCCATTACGTCGAACGAAACGATCAATCTTAGCGCCTCGACAGTCGTCGTCAGGGTACTTTTATCTTGCGGTTTCGATGCTGGCTGAGAGAATGTTAGAGTAAACGTTTTTTTTTTTTTTATATGATATGTACAGTTTTCCTGACCCCATTGAGACGTCTTGAGGACCAAGGAATATCGACCTAACACTCTCGGCTCGACGCACAATTAGACCTGAAACCTTGAGCTTCGGAATTATGCTCTCCCCTTTCTTTTAAAAGTTTCATGAAGTCGACATAATTTTTAGTCATTCCAAGTTTTTTGTAATGAGCTACAGCCGAAAATAAATCTCGGTTTAGTGAGTTTAAAGACAGAGCAGAGCGTTTATCTTTTTTCGTTTTTTCTTTGGAACGTGTAACAGGAGCGTAGAACGATTCCTCTTCAAATTGCTGCGTATCAGGACGTATAGTTTTAGATAACTATCAATGCGTGTCTGCATTTAAGAAAAAAAGACTGCGACTTAAACGATTATTTCGATTTTGCGAACGCATATATCCGTCCGGTAGGAAAAACGCATTAATATGCTGTGGTCGCATTCACAGGATACAGATATTCAGAAGTGTTTCGTACTAACAGTAATAGCACAACCTACTGGTGTTTCCGAGATTGCATTCCTTTACAACAAATCACCTTAACATGTTTTCAAATCTACGAGTTTTGGTGAGACTTGAGGATATTCGACTACGACAAACAGTAACCAAAAATTATGAAATGAACGCAATTAGTATTTTTTTTTTTATTCTTCACACCTTTTGACATTACGTTTTGGCGCACTCCGCAGC